CTCAAACTAGGTGGAGTATGTTGATATAATACGTAGTTCATTGCTCCGTTCTTCTGTAGTGTAGTGCGAATCCTGGATACGTGGACTATAGGCCATTGCCCTGTAGTTTTTCCGTGGAATGGCCATGTCAATGACTCCGTGAACTTCTGTACCGGTCTACGTTACCCTCTCTGTGTCTGTCACCTCTAGACTATATAAGCTGAGTCTGTTCGATAAAGAATACTCTGACCGTAGCCTTCTACGAAGACCCTCGTCTTTATTCAGTCTGGTTCCCTCATTACTACATCTTCGATCCAAAGCAACCGTCGCCCAATTGAGCTCAGTGGTCTAAATTTCCAGCATCGGGCTCGTATTGAGCTGATTGGTGAACATTTGCTGATGATAGAGAAAACCGTCGTATTATTTGGGAGTCGTCCCGAATCTTGAAGGCTTCACGATGAGCCGTCCACTCCGTGTTTGCTGGGTCGGCCATGCTACTGTCACTACTCGTGCAAACGTGCATAGCCGCAACGACGCCGCTCGCGCGGGAGGCGGTGTGGGTTCGATCCCTGCTGCCGGAAAAATATGCAGGTACTCGGCCTTGATCCTCTTGGAGACATTTGCTCTATGGATCCGTCCTCGGAAGCAATGTGAATAACAGTACCCGGGACGTTAAACCTTGGCTGTGTGGATCAGCCCGAAAAAGTTTTGGGTCGGCCATGCAGGTTGGTCTCTCACTGGATCAGGTTGGTGCGTTGTAAGTACAGGACCAGATACTTCAGTCTGAGGTCCCGACGGTGATGCTTCCAAGGTAGTCATCTGCGTCCCGGGAGGACCCCCCGGTCCGTCCCATACTGGACCTGTATTCTTAGGAAGCGCCGCGGCCGGGCGCTCCTCGTTGATGCTTGCTCGTGCTAGGGGGCGACTGCGTAGAAGCCGCCGATGCATTTCCAAAACGTTCCCATCTGCCGTACGTACACGAAAACGACGATCGCTGATTCTTTCCAGAACTGCAGCCTTGGCCCAGGTTTTTCGTGGAGGCTGTGGTTCGAGGCTTACGGTGTCTGACGGACTTAATTTAGGCAGGCTATGCACCTCTCTATTGTGCTGCAGTTTCTGCGCTCGTCTCCGCTTCCCGATCGCCTCGGGAATACGTGAGGGATTCTTGGCTGGAGGTCCGCGATTCTCGCGGGAGGAAGTAATCGTGGTCGTCGTGAGAGGAATTTCTCGGCAGGCGAGAAGCCGTCTTTTTGAGGGGTGCTGCGCCTTCCCATGAGCGCTGACTGCAGATCCTCCTTCAGTGAGAAGGATTTCTCCAGAAGACGTTTTGCGACTTTCACGGCTGATTCGGCCTTCCCATTCGCCGGGTGGTGGTGCGGGCTGCTAACTTCGTGTTGAATTTCCCAATCTTGACAATTCTGCCGACAAGTAGCGGGGATCGCTATCAGTCCTTAATTGCGCTGGTCTGCCGAGGAATCCAAATAGCTTCTTGCTAGCCTCAATTATTCTCGCTGTCGTGATGTTATGGCCGAGTTAGGTGATGTCGAAGTAATCGCTGTATCCGTCGACTGTTATCAGGTAGCTTCGATTTTCCCATTCCATGAGGTCCTGATGTACGATCTCGGAAGGATGGTGTGGGATCTCTCCGCTCATCAGTGGCTCGGCTCTTTGCTTCGTGTCGTAGAGTTGGCAGGCCCCGCAATTCTGGACGAGTTGCCGGAGTTCGGCGCTGAGACCGGGCCAGAATGTTGCCCCGCGTCTGAGCATCGCATCGGATGCCAGATGCGATCGGTGCAAACGGCTGAGCATTTCTCGTCCCAACGGTGTTGGTATGAAGCAGTCCTGGTTGTGGAAAATTATGCCGTCTTCCAGCAGGAGGTTGTCGCGTACTGGGCGGGAAGAGTAGAGCAGAGGATTGCTGGGCCATTTGTTCGCTGCCAGCGCCTCTTTCAGCGCGTATCTCATCCGTCGCAGCCGTCGTGGACAACTCTCGAGGGATTTCTGGAAGATCGTGGACAGTGGCCTGTGGTCCGAGAGCACGCCTATCCCTGGCCTCCCAAACAGCAGATGATCGAATTTCAGGCAGCATGGGACGATTGCCAAGCGCTCTTCCTCTATCACCGCGGAACGTTGTTCGGCGGGGGATGATGCGTGGGAGTGGTAAGCAACGGGGCGTCCGTCTTGTAGCAGTACTCCGCCGACCCCGATTTCGGACGCGTCTGTCTGTATGACGGCCTCCGTCTGCGTGTCGAAGAAGTTCAGTGTAGGAGCCTCCGTGAGCATCTGCTTCATTTTTCTGAAGGCAGTCTGCTGCGACTCAAGCCAGACGAATCCATTCGTAGTCTTCACGATCTCTCTAAAAGCGGGGGGACGGAACGAATGAGGTAATTTGTCATTCCCAGAAAACGCGCCGCGGCCTTTGTATCTTTCGGTGTTGGCATAGCCGATATCGCTCTGATTTTCTCTGGGTCCGGGGAGACGCCGCTGCGGGACAGCACATGTCCGATATAGCTGACCTTCGATTTACCAACCTGAAGCTTCTCTCTGTTCAGGCGAATGCCCACTTCTCTGGCGCGCATGAATAAATGCCTCAGGTTCCGGTCGCGATATGCTTTTGCCTCTTCGTCCGAATCGCCTGTCCCGAGAACCAGAGCGTCGTCGGCGACAACGAGTACTCCTCGGAGCCCCTCGTAAGCTTGGATGTGCCGCCTCTGATACTCTTCCGGGGCCGAACTGATGCTTTCGCTAGGTGTATGTTTTCTGTCGCGTTCGCAGTGCTCGTACCTTCGATGTCCTGGATGACGGCGGTGCTGCCTTCGAAGAGTCGTAAGGTGGCTAGCACATCATCGAGAGACAGTTCTCCCGTCTCTCTGAACATGACTCCTCTTGCTCTGGTGAGCGTGGTGCCGACTATCAATTGGTCGCGGACCATGATGCTTTCAGCCGAGTTGTACTGGCAACCTTTGGAAAGTCGCGTCAGACGATCGAAAAAGTCTGGAATGGTTTCCCCTGGAGTTTTAGTAGTCTTCTGGAACAAGTACCGACGATGAATCGCGTTCTCGTGCTTTTGGAATCGAGAAACAAGCTTGCCGATGATCGCGGCGAGAGATGTCAATGGCTTGCCTTCAGATGGGTCGATGACGTCTTGTGCTATCACGTTTCCCAAGCTGAGATTTCTCAACAGTTGCCTGTTCGCTTCGCCGAACGCAACCCTCAAGGTTGTCACTTGGATATTCGGCTCTTTTGCGCAGATTTTTTCGAGTAGACAAAAGTCTTCCCAACACTCCTTGAAGATGATCCCACGTTCGTGATTGTCCTCGCCCGCAATAACTTGCATAGGTTGGGGTTTGCTTAGTTGATTCCTGGAGCCGGATTCAGTTGAAGATGCCGACTGCGCCATGTTATTCTAGCGTACTGAGCGAACTATGATGGAAGACATAGGAGACGTTGAAACCCGATAAGACTGCGAAACCAGGCTGCCGCGCTTGGCTGCGGCCCTCTGGCTCGTCTGTTTATTGAAGGCTGCGCATGCGCTGGTCTGTCACCTGAGTCCAGAGCGGGCTCCCAACAGTTGTGGAGGGGTCTAGGAAACCGTTGTTGAAAAGGAAGGCATCGAGGTTCCAGAGACCATCAACCCGCGAGTGCAGAAGTTCCGAGATACACGAAGACGGATCGAAGCGCAACGCTGCACGGGCTGTTGGTCGCCCAGCCACCGAGCCGGCGAAGTCTACTGTCGGGCTACCATGGAAACCTGTTTCTATTGCAAGCAGGTTGGCCATTTCTCGAGGACGTGTTCGCGAAAGGAACGCGACATATGTTATCAGTGTGACGAGTATGGCCACTTGAAAAGGGAGTGCCACCAATGGCACGAGTTGATTAAACACCTCAATTAAGGTTAGCATAATAAATGTGGTTCCGAGTATATAATTCTATGTAGGTAAACTCATTAGGTCGAGAAAACTTATGTTAGAGGGGCGTGTTCCTTATATCGAAAATGATCTTGTGAGAATCTCAATTATGTAAATTATCGCGGTCGAATTTAAACGATCTATTCCCCTCTCTCTGTCGAACCGCTTTCGAGAGCTCTGATAACATTAAATCAGTCGTGCAGGGATTTGTGAAGACGACGTATCGTGTGCCCAATTTTCCCCTCGAAATGATGCGAACGCCGCCGAAGTCAGGTATTCGAACGTAGAAAAATCTCATGGTGCCGTGGCCCAGGATACAATCGCGTGCCCTGTCGTCGAATGCCTGATTTTTCGGGAAAAACTTCACGCCGGCCGGTAATCGTCAGGTGCAGCCATCGGACCGACGACGCGACATCGTGCAGCTGAAGCCCCACCGAATCAGCAGGTGACGCAACCAGGCATGTCAGCGGTTCCAGAACCGCGGTTCCGGAACCGCTCTTTTACTGCGCTTTTGGAACCGCAAGAATCGCGTCTCTCCCGCGGTTTTGGAACCGCGAGAACCGCATATATCCGCCCTTCAAATCAAACCTGCACGCCCTCGGGGACAACGAGAACTTGGCAAGATCTCGTCTACATTATTTTCTCGAGAAGTTTAAGCGAGACCCAATCAGATTGGAGGCTGTTGGCAGAGAGATCAAGGGTAACCTCGCGGCCGGCTTCACCGAAGAAGCTCGACCGCGGAAAGAATACTCCTTAGCGCATTATCTCCCGATTCAAGCTGTTTCCAAAGCGAAACCCGACGCCCCATAGGGTCTGAAGACTCGAGTGGTGAAGGACGCTAGCGCCAGGCGCTCAAACCAGGCAGGACTCAATGACGTCCTCCACTGCGGCCCGAACCTCCTTCAAGAAATCACGAAAGTCATCCTGAAATTCCGTCAGTACCGGTTCGCATTCACCGCGGATATTGAGAAGGCCTTCTTGCAATTCAGGATTGCGGACAGCGACAAAACCTTTCTGAGTTTTCTCTGGCCGTTGAATATCAGCGAGGATAAATCAGCCAAAATTCGGGGGTTCTGGGCGACCAGGTTGGACTTCGGTCTAATTTGCTCGCCATTCCTTCATTGCCAGGGAATCAGATTCCACCTAGAATCATCTTTCGCTCATCACCCAGAGGACCGTCAGTTCATCGAGGTAATTCGAGACAATTTCTACATGGATGACGTCATCGGAGGTGCGAATTCCTTCGATGAAGCGAAGCACCGAATACAAGTCCTCACAGACATCTTCACCGATGGGCACTTCCCGTTGGATAAGTGGTCAGCGAACTCCACCGAGATCGGAGAATTTATCGAACGCATGTCGCCGGTCAAGGACCTGACCATCTCGATCGGCCAGGCCAACCACAAAACCCTGGGCGTTCCATGGAATCAAGTTCAGGATGAACTTGGCACCCCAACATCGAAAGCCCTCAGAGAACTCACCACAGGAGTCCCACCAAAGAGGAAGCTCCTCAGAGCGACAGCTCAAATCGTCGATCCACTGGGTATCATTAGCCCAATCATCGGCCCCGTGAAATCACAATTCCAAGAGCTATGGGAAAAGAAAATCGGTTGGGACGAGGCCTTGAAAGGGAATCTACTAAAACAGGACGGGAATTTCTCGAAGCTACTTAGCCAGGCTGAGGGTATTGCCATTCCCCGACACATGCTTTCCTCACAGGGCACCTCAGCCAGGAAGGAACTTTTCATGTTCTCCGATGCGAGCTTGCGGGGGTGCGGAATCGTTGCGTACATTCGAGAGCAACATGGTACAGCCCCGCCCTCAGTCTCGTTCGTACTTTCGAAATCGAAGATCGCCCCCGTGGAGGCATTCACCATTCACAGATTGGAGTTACTCGGAGCGCTTCTCGCAGCTAGGATGGCGGAGAGAATTCTCGAATGGCTCGACTTCAAAATCGAGGCCGTCATTACTTCTGCGACAACTCACAATCAGCAGTTCTTGGCTGGGTTGCCTCGAATCCGGTAAAATGGAAACCGTTAGTTGCAAACAGAATCCGAAGAATTCATCAACTAGCTGGTCAGGCCAGGTGGCATTGCGCAGAGCGATCGATCGCAGAGCTGTGGTTCAACGGGCCACAGTGGCTTCGCCAAAAGAACAGCGACTTACAAGCGAAACTGAAATCCGATCGCACATCTCACATTCACGTAGATCAATCTCAACTCGAGCACGAAATGAAGAAATACATAGCGACGTTCCATGTCGCGCTTCCGGCCGGCCAGGCTGATGCGAAAAGAATATTTTTCGAAGACAGTTTTTCTTGCTGGCTAAAAGCGATTCGCTTTTGGGCATTCGTGCTTCGCCTCAAAGCAAAAGCTCAATCGGCGAAAACGAGAGTGCAGATGGGGAACAAGTGAACGGCCAGACCGAAAACCGTCTTGAATCTCATCGATCCAGAGGAAATGATAACAGCCAGGCTGGAATTGCGGTGCACCCCTTTTGGGCGCAGCCGTTTGGGCGCGACCGTTTGGGCGCGGCTCTTTAGGCGCGGGCCGTTTGGGCGCAGGGCCGTTTGGGCGCCGAGCCGTTTGGGCGCGAGCCGTTTGGGCGCGAGCCGTTTGGGCGCGAGCCGTTTGGGCGCGAGCCGTTT